AGGTAATAAAGACTAGGGTGGTTTTCTTCATCCCACAAAGTGTGGGAGGCATGGCATTCGCTAGTGACCTCAACAGTCTGGATAAAACGTCAGTGTGAGGAATAGAGGCAAATATTTAAATAATAACACAATACCGAATAATGTGGAAAAATGCAAGTATGACTTAGGAAAAAAAAATCAGTAGAGAAAGTATCTAGCAATTCTCAAGAGAAAGTAACAAAGAAGATCAGGAACAACACTTTCACCTCTGAAGTTTAAAATCGATGGCTAAAATATGGAAATAAACAGCAATAATATCACTTTACAGTTATATAGTCCTTAAAGCTCAGAAAGTCTGCACTAAGGAACCCATAATGAATGCAACCCTCACCTCAACTCCCAGGTAGATAAGGCCATTCTCTTCACTGAAAGGGGAACACATGACCGAAGGTCACTCAGGAAGTAAAGAAGCTAAAACAAGTTAATCTCAGAAGAAAGATTATGGGTTACAAAAAGAGGAAGCATGGGTGAACTTAATGTCAATCCCCAACCAAAATGCAATATTACAAAAACAAAAACAAAAAATCAAACACCTGGTTTTAGAAGCTAAAAAGCATTTGTTATGAATGAGTCATTTGGAACTAACATTATTTTCTCTTTTAAAAAGAGGTGTAATATCCTTAGAAGTTCAGGGAAATACCAAGGACCTCAGAGATAAGGTTGTCAACAAGGCAAGTGATAGTCTCTTCAAGCAGACTGAAACCAGACCCCTCCTTGGGCATTACTGAATCTCCTCTTACTCAATACACTGGAATACGGTGCTCCAGACAGTCATTAAATGGAGAAGAGGTAAGTGAATTCTGTCTTGACATACAAATTCAATAAACGCAAATTAGAGGGCTGTATTAGGATGATTCATAGTTAAATGAACACCTACTCCTGGAAAGTTCTGATTATATTGAAACCTTCTCAATCTTTCCTAATTTTTCAATCACAATTTGAAAATATATAATCACCATTTTCCATTTTAGCTACTTTAGCATCACTAAACACTTAACACTTCTGCAGTATGGTAAGTACATTGCATGTATTATTAAAATCTGTCCATCATCTTCTGAATACTATCATTCTATTATACAGATGAGAAAACAGACTTTAGAAAAGGGTTACAGTCTTTTAGGATTAACAACTAGTGAATTACAGAACAAGGATGCAGTCCTCAGCCTGTCTGATCCACAGCCTATCTCTACCAGATGGATCTCCGGTGTGCGTAGGGACTCTCTTCTCTTTCACATTCATGTGGCCCGTGTAGCTCATGAAATCATGAGTTTGATTTCATGAGTTGAAATCAAACTCCTCCTCCCTGTCCCCACGCCCTGCAGTTTCTTCACCAGGCTCTCTGGTCATTGGAAGGTGCACTTCAGGCTGCCCTGAAGTGAGCATTCGTGACTGTTTTGGGCCATGAAATCTCATGGGGGCCTTCTGTTTTAGGTTCTTGGAAGAACAGGGTTTCTCTACCCTTTCTTTAAATAAGACTTCTTCACCCATTTTTTTTTGCTGCTGATAATAGCTAAATTTTTAATGGTCCTCAACAACTTGTAAATCTTGGTGTCAGTTCAGCTTTTTTCAACGAACATCAGGTAAACATAAAACTGTGCGGCCAATATTTCAAGCCCTTCTATTGTGTTGGATGTTGGAGTGGTAGTGTCATGGATGGTGTGGGAGACCGAATACAGTCTAGGAAGACAATGCATATACACCAGGATGTTAACTTACCCAAGATGGTAAACAGAAATTGCTTTATGAAGCCTCTGCTTTGCCCCACAACATGTTCTGGAAATTTCTTAGTTAAGTAGATCATTATTATTCAGCACTTTTTTCTCCAGTGGGGTACAATATAACTACGGTCACAATATAATTTATTTTTCAAACCCTGATACTTCAGAGAATGTCGAGGAGAGAATTAATAATTACACCTGTATGATAGGAATAAACTGGTACTATCATAGGAAAACTAGGATATAGGTTCACCCTAATTGAAACCAGAGATAAACAAGGACGCAAGCATTTAGTCATAGCTTTAATCAGAATGACACAGGAGGAATGACCCAACAACTCTAAATCTTTGTGATTTAAATAAAATGTTAAATTTTAAGTCCCACAAAATAGACAAAATAAGTTATTAATATATACAGTCAATTTCAAATAGGCCATGAGTGACTATAAAGTGTTTAGCATATGATTTTACTTTAACATACATTTGTCTTTTATGAACCTAATAAGATGCTTGTTATAATAAAAATCAAATTGAAAAAAGCTGAATTGGCACCAAGATGTACAAGTTTTAAATTAAAAATAGTTTGTTTTCATTGATTTTTGGTGGGTTTTCTTAAGGTATCTTTAAAAGGCAGGCTTCCTGGGGAGGTTTGAATAGGTGTCCTTTTTTTCTTCATGAATTTTTCATACAGCAAAAAAGACAGTTCAGGTTTTTTTTTATTTCTATCTATCTGTTCATCTATATAGCCATCCGCCAAATCAGCAAATATTTATTGAGCAGCTACTATGTGCTAAGCTCCATATCCTGGGAATGCAATCACCAATGTGATATAGTTCCTGTTTCTTTGTATCTTTTTGTCTTTCTGTGTTTCAGCTCTGTCTTTGATTTTTCATCTTCTTCTGTTTCTCTTTCCTTCCCTTTGTCTTTGAAGCAAAAGCCTGTTCTGTATTTGGCAAAGGGGTTTGGCCGTCTAGTCAGATGTTATTAAAGTCTTAATAGAGGAAGAGAAATATACATTTGTGACTCATTTCTTTAATTTTTAAAAATTTTATATATTTTTTAATACATTCACCACAGATGATGAATGGGCCCACTGTTGTAACAAAAAGGCCTGTGATCCATTTCTTTAAAAAAAGAAAATACACTTCAGGAAAAGAAATTTGAAGTGTACCAATAGAGAAGAAGGGTGTAGTAAAATCCAAGTTTCCAGCCAACAGTGGTAATTCTAGCAAATATCTCCTTAGTTTATCAGCTTTTGCATTTAAGTTCTCCTAATAACTCACTTTGCTGTTCTCTCCAAGAGAAGCACAATCACTTTGCAATCACTACAGAGTGATTTGTTATCCCAGGTGAGCATTCAAGGAATGAAAGGCAGTTAAGGTGGGTTGGAAAAGGGAGTGCAAATTAGAGAGAGAGGGTGGTCACTGGTGAGCCATGAGGGATTTGGCTGAAGATGTAAGCAGAAGTCTTATCAGCTGTCTTAAGGAGCTTGAACTATATCCTGCAAATGGAAGTCTTTCAAGGCATTTTTATCAGAGGTGTGCCATGATCCTAAGAATCCTGCTTACATCTGGGGAGGACTGGAAGAGCCATAAGTATGCACAGTGGCAGACCATTTGAGAGGTGGTTTTAGAAATCTAGGAGATATTGATCTAGACTAGGGGATGGAGAGAAAAGTACGGATTCCACAAACAGCATATCTGGTGATTGAAAGTGGGACCTAGTGCTGGTTACACATTGTTCCCAGGGTTCTTTTACTTGGGCATCTGAAGTTGGTGGTGCCATTCGCTGAAATGGGCAGTGAAGACACATAGGATGTTGAGCAGGTTTCCTCTCAGGCCTGTGGCTGCAATCAAAGTTGATATCAATCTTCTAGTAATAATCAGGGTAGCATCTAACATTGGTTCCCTCACTAAGGGGTTTGGTTGTGAGCATTTGGAGAAGAGACAGTTCTCACAGCTGACTTTTATAGCTCATTTTCTTTTTCTCTGCTACTCCCAATGACATAGTCACCTTGCAAAGAAAGAGAAATCACAAAAGAACAGTCTAAAGTGTGTGAGCATGTGCACGTGTGTGTAAGTGTTAGTGTCTGAGGATGGTATTGATGGTTCATAAACCTCTGGCCCCTCTCAGGTCCAATAGCAGAAAGGCTGAATAAGAGAAAAAAATAAACAAATAAAAACCCCTGGCCAATGAAGGCTGTACAACATCCTGATTGAGAGAGTTCCAGGGTTGGATTGCTTGGGTTCCAGTTCTAGCTTTGCTGCTTAATTAGTTGTGAGATCCTGGACAAGTTACTTCATTTCTCTGTGTCTATCAGTTTTCTCATCTGAAGAATGGAGAAACTACTAATACTGACTTCATTTAAAAATTCCTACCTAAGTTACTGTAGATTACTTATGAATTTCTTTATTTACAATGTTTGGAACAGTGCGTAGCACTGTTACTGTAACAGAATTTCTTTTGGCAACATCGAATGAGCAAAGCTGCAAATAATGGGCAGGGTGTTAGACAGTAGGAGGATTGATGAAATTGCACTGTGATGACCTTTTGGTCCTGTATATGTGATTTTAGACCCTGTAGAGCAGTGGCGTCCAACCTTTTTGGACCGTTTTCATGGAAGACAATTTTTCCATGGATCAGGGTTGGTGAAGGGTCGGGGGGATGGTTTGGGGATGATTCAAGTGCATTACACTTACTGTGCAATTTATTTGTATTATTTTTACATTGCAATATATAATGAAATAATTATATAACTCACCATAGGTTGGGGACCCCTGCTGTAGAGCAGGTGTAATAATATAGGTTGGGTCCTTGTGATTTGTCCCTCTCAGAAAGAGCATGTTGCAGGGGCAGTGATGGTAGTGGCAGGAGCAGCGTGTGTTTAGCCGCCACCTGAACCCTACCTATCAGGCGTGTGCTGTCAGCTGTCCTGATGTCGCACGTTGGCGGGAGGTGGCTGTCGGAGAGGCTGCAGCGGTGTGAGCAGCAGGGCTGAGAGGCAAGCCAGGCAGTCCAACTTGAGAGCCTGTATTTGTGGCCACTCCCTGGATTGCCTCTTTAAGGCCTGTTGAAATAGTCACTGTTGACTCAAGAGCGCCCCCCCCCCCACGCAAGCGTGGAGGGTGGCTTTATTTTAATGGAAGGTGAATAGTTACTTGTTAGCTTTGATTATCAGTGGCTGCAACTTCAGGTCCAAGCGTTGTAAGAGATCGTTAATCTCTCTTTTCCATTTCTCTTTTAGGTATCAGTTTTTCTTGCAGGTGAAGCAAGACGTCCTTCAGGGCCGGCTGCCCTGCCCGATCAACACCGCTGCCCAGCTGGGAGCATACGTCATCCAGTGTAGGTTCCCCTTGTGCATACTTGCTTCAGAAATGTCTGGAGGAAATATTTGCATTTTTCTTTGTAAGCAAGTTTAGGTATGAAAACCCTTATCAACTGACATTTCGCTGAAAAAGCAATGATATATTTCATATCAGAAAGTTATCAGGTTCCTAAAATTGAGTCGCCATCGGTCCAATTGACAAAAAATTCCGATCCATAGCACAACTCTTAGCAATTCATTTCTTAGAAAAAAAAAATAAAAGCACCCGGTCCAAATAATCAAATGGAGCATTGCTAACATGCCCACTCGCCTACAAAATCAAAGGCCAATGGCAATTTACACATCTCAACTGGCATAGGATAATAATTGAATAGAAGTGGACCACGCCCTGTAATCCTAGCACGACCAGAGGCGAGGCACGGAGAACGGCTCCAAGGTCACGGATCGAAACCACCTGGGCAATGAGCGAGACCCCTGTCTTATAAAAACTGAAATAAATTAATTGCCAACAAAAAAATACAGAAAAAAAATTAGCCATTTATAGTGCCGCATGCCTTAGTCCCCACTAACTCGGAACGCTGCGCAGAAGGACATGCATGGAGCCCAGGAGTTTGAGGTTGCCTGTGACTAGGCAGCTGACGCCATTGGCACTGCCAGCCAGCAACAGAGTGAGACGTCTCAAAAAAAAAGAAAAAAATTAGGGCTCAAAGGTTATTGACCGTGGACCAGGTCCACTCCATGCCAGATCAGTGAACTCCACACGACCTATAGCCGCCACAATTATCATCAAGCACTGGAAAAAAAAAATCTGAAAAAAATTTCATAAATAACTATACTTATAGCCAGTGTAAACCTTCCATCATGACAGAACCCACATCCAACACAAACCAACATACTTGCTACCTCGACTGTTGCCCGATGTCTATTTACCTAGCAAGTAATTCATTATGGTTTCAGCCATAAAATCCATTTTTGAAATTCTAATACAATCAATTATAGAGAATTTAAATTGTTTGACATTGTTAGCATAAACCCTTTGGAGCTGTATCGCAGATGTGTTTTCAAGCCGCAGCTAATTGTTCTCTACACATGAAAAATAGTAATCACAGATTTTATGCAAAACTCATTTAGGCGGTTCAATCCACCCAAAAGAGCTGCTTTGTGCTAGAAAATACACAGATGAAAAGTACACCTGCTGTGCAAACAACAGGACTGCAAAGCTTCCCTTTCTGACTCCAGGACTTTAAGAAACAACGTCACCAGCTTAACAATATTTGTGTTAATTAATGTTACTTCACATAGACCGGGAGGGTCAAACGCCATACATCTCCCAGGGTTTTGCGGTCCCCGCAAGTAATTCCAGTCAGCTTCAGAGGGAGCTGACCCTGTGCCCAGCAGAAAAAAAGACCTTATTACGTAGCTACTGCACTTACAGGGAATGTAAACACTTCATTTGTATCCTGGAAGAAAAATAATCCTTGGTATAATGCAAACATTACATCTGCAGTTCAAAAGGCCTTGCCATCTCGGTTGACAATTTTATACTCTAAAGTGATAACTTATAGTAAGCTAATTCATTACCGATCTATCTTGTGTATATAGACCCATCCCACAGGCCAGCATGTTTTAAAAACTCTCAGTTTCAGAAACCCAAAGAGTTACTGAGAATAAAACGCTCCAAGAAAATGTCCCCCCCACAAAGAGTAGAAATGTCCCTGAGCAGCATGCGCCTCTCCATCAGAACAAGGAAAATAAACAGTGGTGGGGAGGTGGAGAGATAGACCCCCACCACCCAGCTGGGGTTCACACTCAACACTCTCTAAGGCACATAATCCAATTGGGGAAAAATTTATCAGCTGACATACAACTACACTGCAAAGTTATGGTCATTTCTTGCTACAGGAGTGTGAACCTTCTCATGTAACTCCCTGGTGGTAATACCAGAAACAGCAATTCACCCTAACAAGGGTGGGATCTGCTACGGACTCCACAGATGAGTTCAAGGGGAGAAGAAATTCAACAAATGCTGCTTGATGCATTCCCTTGTTTCAGCCACAGTGCAACTGAAAAAACCCAGTAAATACACCATATTTCTGAAAACCACGAAGAATGCTCATCCAAAATAAATTTAAGACACACAG